GAAATCACTGCCTTCCCCCACTCCCTTACTAATCTCAGGCTTCAATTCGAGTTGTACAGGATGAAAATGTTGCCTATTTTTATCTCTCCTCCTTTATCCTTACATAGACTGATTCCTGGTTGCTTTTTCTGGCAAGGAGCAGTAAACTCCTCCCAAATCACTATCTCTATCCACGCTGCAATCTATTCCTTCTTTCCCTCTGCTTTGTACAATAGCTACATCTACATTTTTAAGTCTTTTTTTTTTTTTTTTTTCAGTGCAGCTCTAGACCAAACACTGCAGGCGGTTATGTGGCCTGAGGAAACACACCTTATAGGCAAACCCAAGAATTTAACGTTAGCATAACTGAGGTGTTAGCTCACCAAGAGAAGTTGTCATTACAGTTATCCAATACTAGCAGCTCTAGTCCAAATTATCCAGTCACTATAGCTCATTCCCAATAATCCTATAGCTACTATACTACTGCCTACCGTTTTTCCTTTTATTGCCCTCATCCTCCCAATGCTCCTATGACTCCTAAAAGTGAGAAATGAGTGGTGTTATAGTGTATTGCATGAGCTTAAAACCCTTCCCTGGGAGTGATATGATGCTCTAGTTGGTAATTTCCTCTTGTGCTGGCTTCATCAGAGCAGCTGGTTCAATTGCATTGGCTTCAGGCTGCATCTGGTACATCCTCAGCTTTTCATTCTATCCCACTCCGCAGTGGGATGCTAATGATTTCTCCCTTGACTCCTTGATCCTATCCTTGGCCCTCAGCATGTGCCTTGGGTCCTTATCCTTCCTTCTGCTGAGCAAAAGACAAGAACCAACTCTCCTTGCTACATATATTTTCTTTTCCACATTGGCAAGTTTCCCTTCAAAATCTCCTAGTTTCTGCGGGTTCAGTTCCCACCAATCCATCTGTTACCCTCACTTGTTTTACTCCTGGTGTGAGCTGCTACGGCAAAGTTCACAAGGCTTCCAATCCATCGCTTCTCCTTTTCCCAGTGGTCTTGGTCACCACCCCACCGGGGGTATTTAGTGACCCCCTTGTGACACAGGTGGCTTTGATGACTGAAACCTTGTCACAAGCAAATCGGGGGGTGGCAGAAGGGTTTTTATTTTCTCTTCTCTGGCTTTGGGATGCCCTAAGGTGGTCAAGATCTTGGGTTGGTGAAGCCAATTCATGGACKGATCATGAGAACAGGGAGAACTGGGAACGTTGGAGGTAGAACAAGGGGCCAGAGGACTGAATGGAGCAAAGCTGTTGGAAAAGCAGAGTGGTCACGTTTGCTTCTGCCTAGTCAATGGCTCTGCAACAAAAATTGGCCCTCTGTTAATGCAGGTCATCACAGCTGGATGCAGGATGGTGGCGAGTGTATAACGGCAGCTGGTTTTGCCCTRGGGCCTTTATCACAAAGACCTCCTTCTTGCCTGTGTGAGGCCCATTGAGATCCCGAGCACAGCAAGTGCAGGAGGACCGACCACTRTTGACAAATAGCAGCTTGTAGAGCAGCCCCTAAGGTCTAGCAGGACACTGAACCTTTCAGTGCTTCAAGTTGGGTGATTCAAGTGGCCTCCGGCGTGTCTGATCTTGGTCAAATCCTTACAGAAGGAAAAGAAAACAAAGTAAAGGTTTAGTATGGAAGAAACGCGGGGCATATCCCCCAGATGTGTCATAAAAGTCTGTTAATAAGGTGTTAACCCCCCATTTTAGCTTTTGGCTCTGCTGAAATGAGAGAATGAGAGGAGCCACATGAGGACCATGAAGAAATGCAGTGGTTTTTTTCAGACTCTGGTGCTTTCTGACTATTGCTAAAAATCCCTTAAAGGTTTACCTTGCATAGAAAGATAGATAGATATGTGTGTGTGTGTATATAGAGAGATATAATGTGGTATACAGGAAAAAGAAACAAGCTAGTCTCTCCTGCCACATTCATGATGAAAAAACAGTTTGGAAATATCACTTCAATACAGGACAATTGCTTTTTGCACAACGGATAATCAGCCTATAGAAAACATTTCTGCTCTCGTATGAATATAATGGTTATTAAAAAAATACTAGATATTATTCATGAATATCTTTTATGGTTGTTCGTGAGATGATCAGCAGTCAACATACAAGGAAATTTTTATTTTCGCTGTTGAGATCAGGAGATAAACTCTTCCTGCATGGATGGCTGTGCAAACAGGCCTGAGATGCTGTACYACTGGGCTCAATTTTGGGTAAAGGAAAGGAAACAGGGAAAAAAAAGATGCCTGATCCAGTGTTTTATAGGCATACTATGGAAATACCTATAGGAAACTTGCTGTGGTGGCTGGGAGATGCTCAGAGGCGGGAGGGAGGCAGTCTAGTGCCTCTGGGTTTCTATGGCAACGTTCAGCAGAACTGGGTCAGGTTTGCAGGTGTGCGGAAAAGTGAAGCAAGGAAATAGGGAATCAGGGCTGCGCCTCCRGAAAGGAAACCCTGCTGCCGGGAAAACTAACTGCCCCGGGCCAGGTGAGAGCCGAATGCGGGGACGGGGCATTTCCACGTCCATTCCTCATTCGCGTGGAGTCCCACATCCCTGTGGTTTAGTGTGTAATCAATCCTATATATATAATTCACACTATATTATATATACTACACTGTAGTGTGATATATTCACACTATATATCACTATATACATCAGATGGGGAGGGCGCAATGGGGAGAGGGCCAGGTTCTTGCCGGAGGTGCCCAGCGAACGCCAGGAAAAAAACTGTTGGCTGGGACAGCCACCAAGCCTGGGAGCCTGGAGAGATGTGAGACCCCTTCCTTGGGGATGCTCAGGGCGTGTGTGGATGTGATCCTGCGCCTGGATGTGATCCTGTGCCTGGACACGACCTGGTGCCAGGATAGGATCCTGTGCCTGGGTATGACCTGGTGTGAGGACATGATCCTATGCTTAGATGTGATCTGGTCCCTGGGTATGATCGGGTGCCAGGACATGGTCCTGTGTCTGGATGTGATCCTGTGCCTGGACATGATCCTGTGCCTGGACACGATCCTGTGGTAGGACAAAATCCTGTGCCTAGACACGATGCTGTATTCAGGACATGACCTGGTGCCTGGACATAATCCTGTACCGGGACATGATCCTGTGCCTGGACATGATCCTGCGCTAGGACATGATCCGGAACCAGGACACGATCCTGTGCCAGGAYATGATCTGGCACCAGGACACGATCCTGTGCCAGGATGCGATCCTGTGCCTGGACACGATCCCGGCTCTGGGCACGATCCTGTTCACCAGGACATGATCCTGTGCCTGGACACGATCCTGTGCCGGGACATGACCTGGTGCCTGGACACGATCCTGCACCAGGACACAATCCTGTGCCTGGACACAATCCCGTCTCTGGACACGATGCTGTCCCAGGACACGATCCTGCGCCGGGACACAATCCTGTGCTGGGACGTGATCCTGTGCCTGGACACGATCCTGTGC